CTAAGGTTTCTCATCATTCACAGATTCCATAGAAGTCAATGCCACCACCTCCCTCTTGCCTCCTCTGTACAAGATCCTCCTCAATCAATAGTCATAGAGTTTGGTGCATACAGTCCATGGCGTGCCATGGTTACAAATGATTTGCCTGGGTCTCTTTGAAAGCCTCCAAGATGCCAGGACAGCGCTGCTTATTCTCAAGTCCACAAAAACTTGCAACTGGACTGGGCTCAAAGGTTCAACGCATTCCCAAACTGGTTTCAAGCAAATGTTATAAAGCCTAAGCCATCAAGTGTGAAATAAGTTCCAAGATTCACCAGTTTGAGAAGTTCACATTTTGTAATGTTTCATCGACGCAGACAGATTTTGGAGAATGACAAAGATGAGCCCTCTCTGGTTGCAGAGAGGGCCAGGCTTTTAAAAGAGAAATGGGCCTCATGTGGTAGATGACTAATGTACTCCCTCAAGGAAAACACAAGGTGACACACAAACAATGAGACATGAAAGATCCCCTCACAGCTGGTACATGACTCGAACTCACTCCCTCAGGGAAAACACAAAGCAACAGAAACACACTGAGACATGAAAGATCCCCTCACAGCTGGTAGAGGACTGGAACTCACTCCCTCAGGGAAAACACAAAGCAACAGAAACACACTGAGACATGAAAGATCTCCTCACAGCCGGTAAACTCACTCCCTCTGGGAAAACACAAAGCAACAGAAACACACTGAGACATGAAAGATCCCCTCACAGCTGGTAGAGGACTGGAACTCACTCCCTCAGGGAAAACACAAAGCAACAGAAACACACTGAGACATGAAAGATCCCCTCACAGCTGGTAGAGGACTGGAACTCACTCCCTCAGGGAAAACACAAAGCAACAGAAACACACTGAGACACGAAGGATCCCCTCACAGCTGGTAAACTCACTCCCTCAAGGAAAACACAAAGCAACAGAAACACACGAAGACATGAAAGATCCCCTCACCACTGGTAGATGACTGAACACACTGCCCAAAGACACATTAGGTGGCAGTAATACACAGAGGCACAGACAAGACAAGGTGTTGCCAATAAGTCAGCTTATGTAGCACTAATGAAAGATTCTGCAATTTGAAGAATTTTGACAAACTGCCAGTCATCACAGCCACACCGACACGTGTACACTGCACTTCAAACTGCCACCTGTCAATGTAACTCACATCAACTTTTACAAGAAAGAAATTCCAGAATTTATGAATGTTTTTAAAGCTGGCACCAATGACAAGGAGTGTAACTGAAATGTATTGATCTGCCAGGGACTTTATTCTGATTGGTTGTGACCAGGTCAAACTGCAGGTTTGCTATCAAAATGCCCACATCAGTGAGATCTTTTCAAGCAATATTAATGTACATCACAGGCTCTTTGCTTCAAGTTCACGTAGTGGTAGTGTTAACTCACAAAGTATTCAAACCACATTGACGGTCACAGTGTCAGAGATAATTTCTTTGAGGATCGTAAGTAATTTGTTCAAACTGCATTTCCTTTTCCAAATTTCCTTCAGCAGCATATGTCAACCATGATAACAGGAAGAAGTGTCGTGATCTGAAATTCACAAGGAATCCATAGTGAACCCAAACTGAGGCCATTATCATCCAAAATACATGTAACTTCAACACTGCCAGTTTTACCTTTGAACATTCAGTGATCTTCAACCAAGTCAGTGATCTGAAAGGTGAATCAAATCACTTGGAACCAATAGAAGTCCCCAACAATGGACTAATAACCTTACATTGGTCTCTGCCAATAATTCATAGATGTGCCTTTTCTCTTCCTCTGTCACCTTACAGCCAATGAGCACCAGATGATTCAGGGCCTCGAACTTCTTTATCTCTGCACAAAATGCTGCAACTGTACCACACAGGTCATTGTGAGAAAGTTCCAAAGCAGCCAAGTTGGGTAGAACCCTGAGTGACTCGGCAACATGTACCATGTCCTGTCCATTCAATTTGCATCTGTTCAAGGCCAGATTCTTCAGTGCCTTGTATTGCCCCAAATGCTTGCACAATAATGCTACTCTACCACCCAGGTCATTCCAAGAAAGCTTCAATCTAACCAAGTTGGGTAGACCACTGAGTGACTCAGCAACATGTATCATGTCCTGTCCATTCAATTTGCAGTCACTCAAGTCCAGGTCCTGCAGTGCCTTGAACTGCCCCAACTGCTTGGCCCATGACACTGCTGTACCACCCAGGTCACTGCGAACAAGATCCAATGTATGCAAGTTGGGTAGACAACTGAGTGACTCAGCAACATGTAACATGTCC